ATAGATATTTTGTTTCATTTTCATTGATTGGAAAAATAATTGCATTTGATTTCAGTGGTTCCTTTGGTTGGATTAAAATTTTGTTTAGCATTTAGAGGTGTGTTTATATTTTGAAATTTGTTGAATTGTCATTTTAATGTTAGTTTCTTACTATAAATTCAGTCGGTAATTTTTTAATGCATTTAATTTTATTTCTTGTATTTAGTTTGTATGACAAATTAAAACGCATACATAATGGACCATTTAATCGTAATGTTCAACGTTTGATCTGTTTCCATTTTTCTAAAAGAAAGCGGCATGTTCCAAGGGGAGGTAAGATTAATTGTTACCAGAAGAGAATATTGCCCACATCAATTGCTGTAAGTTACTTTAAATTTTATGATTTGTACAAAGTAGGCTTGTAGATTATCTTTAGCAATTGATCTTTGAAGTGATTTTAATATTCCTAAAGAAATTGACCCGTCAAAATTATTTGCATGAAACAGATTTTGTATTGTATTTATTAATAAGAATCGAATCCAAACAAAGGATGGTTATTTTGTTTCATTTTCATTGATTGGAAAAAAATGGATTTGATTTCAGTGATTCCTTTGGCTGGATTAAAATTTTGTTTAGCATTTAATGGTGTGTTTATATTCTGAACAGGAGAATATACCAGGAATTTATTATAAAAATTACAGTTTAGATAAGGATTATTTCTCGTATTACTACGTGATTCCGAGACAGATATTGCATTTTTTGTATTTCTTTTTATGAGTCGGGCCAGTATTTTAAGTCCAATAACTTGGATATAAATATGCAAGTTGATCGCTTTTGTTTTGATTAATATATTCAATAAACTAAGTTCATATGGGTATTTATTAGAGTTCAGTTCAATCAAACCAGAGCATTATATTTTGAATTTCAGGTTTGCAGAGAAGTGGAAAGGCTAAACTTCCACAATGTAAGGGGTATAAAAAAATATTTTTATTACTGAGCTAACCGTGGGCCAAATAAAATTGTCATAAAAATGTTTTGCCAGTGTCGTAGAGGTTAAATTTTAGTTTACGCAAGTGAAATTTTCAACCCTTGTAAATGTAACTAAACCTGTTACAGTCTGGCTTAAAAGGGTCGCACAGAATCAAATTAATTCTAGTTCTACGGCAATTTTTAGTGTAACTCGGCTGCAGGAGCGAATATTACAGTAATCTTTTAGATCCCGTGTTCTATGAATTAAAATATTCTGATAATTTAGGCGTTGTCACTTGGAAAATTGCTGCAATTCGAATTTTTTCAAAATTTTAGATTTCATCTTGAGTGTCTTAAAAACCTAGATAAAACTGTTAATCAAAACTTCCTTGTATTAACGTTGCTAATAACAAAATAATATAGGAATTCCTGATGTGGAAATATTCAAGTAATAAAAAATAAAATAAAGAAGAATAAATTGTTCAAAATGAAAATTAAAATAAAAAAGTGCAAATAATAGTCCAAAATTAACACACTAGAAGAAAAAAGCGAATTTAAAATGTCGAACTTCGGTATACGCAAAGTAAAATCTTAAATGAATATAAAAAACAATCAGCTTCTTCCAACATTTCAGGAAAGTTCATTCCTCATTGAAAAATTGAAAAAAATCCCCATTTCGATCCATTTGTCCGTCCATCCGCCTCTCCCTTGTCTAATCCGATGATGGAAAGTTCTATTTTGAGTAAAAAATAAAAAACGCAATTGTGCAAAATAAGTAACCTTTCAAATGATGTTTCACAGGGGCCATTTAAGTTCTTAATTGGATAAAATGAATAACACTACACTTAGTCCCCCTTCAATACAAAGTTAACGTATTCGAGCAGTTTTTTTAATTTTCTAGAAAACAAATTTAAAAATCTTAAATAAAAGGTTACCTTTGATTAAGCGTACGGAATACTTAGTTTAGCCTTTTACCCAAGTTTTCAGTATACGTAGACGACTAAAATATCCTGGTACAACGATCACAAGCAAAATTACCTACTATTTGCACAAATGACTTCTCCCTGAATAGATCGAACTTTCGAACCGCCGATATATTTAGTCTTCCTGCGCGATTTAACTACTAAAGTTTTTCGAAAACACAACATTTTTCAAGCTCGGGTTAAACTTCCGAAATGGCAAGAAGCGTATATAACTCAAGAATGTGTGTTTGTATAAAATCTTTTGTTACGTAGCGTATCTCAAGTTTACTCTTCCTGAAATATGTAAGTCGAGCAATACCTGAAAGACGGCATTCTTTCCTTATAATGAAATACGTAGAAGAATGTCTGTGTGCTCTTTTGGCAGTAGGTATACATTCTGATCGAGTTATAAAAACCAAGATACTTCTTTGGGGATCTAATTAACTAAAAGTTACTTCCCTTTTATAAAAGTTACGTAATTGAAACGAAAAATAGGAAGGAAACGGCCTTATGCTAAAAAATATCTGTTCCTTCCCTATCGAGGCAATAAAAGGAGGAAAATTATATTATTTTGTTATTCATAGTCCTGTTCCATCCATTAAAACTTTGGTCTCGAGGGCGTATTTTGCAAAATAAAAGAGCAGCAGCTCGGTGTCGAGTTGCTTCGGCGGCTTTACTTCCATCTTTGCTTTGCTCTCTCTTTTAGGGTCCTTCGTCCCTATGGGAGCGAGACGGCAATCAGCTAACGTCACCAAATTGGTAGGTATATTCCGTAAACGCATAATTACCATAGGGACATATCGCAGTGATCGACGTAAGGTTTATTAGGAAATATGTCTTGGCAAAGTTTTCTGAGATTAATGTACCAAAATATATACGCGTCTAGAGATTAAAACGCATATTTTTCAGTTACAAAATCGTTCGTTTAAAGCGCTATATCTAATATAAAAATTAACATAGCATTATTCGTTAAAATAAGGATTAAGCAAGCAAAGTTGACTGTAGCGAAATTGCCTAAAGTTGTTTTCCTTGCAATAACTAGGTCCTTGGTTCCCAAACCGCTATAGTAAAATCAAAAAATGTACTAGGAAAAGTTTAGAAAGAAGCAAAACTGAAAAATTATTCATTACCTGCAGTCAAATTATCGCTTTATAAAATATACAATAGGTGATAAACTGTAGGTACCTACCTAATAAAAAAATTTTTGACGGTAGTCCATTTAAACCTGTACCCAGGAGGAAAGAGGGATTTTTCTTAGGTGGACGGGTTGTTTACTAATGGCTTGAGTTTCAATGGAAATTAAACTCTTTTCCCTGACAGTAATAAAATATGTTAATCTTTTCAGTGTATAATTGCAGTCTCTTTAAACCTTTGAATTGTATAATAGTGTAAAGTAGTCTATAGGGGTTTTTCCTAGGTTAATGGGTTGATCACTTATCCCTCCAGTCCCATCTAAAGTTAATGCCTTTTCTCTGACAGTGTTAACAAAATTGTTAATCTTTTCAGGTGTTGATGGCAACCCCTTTAAAACTGTGCCAAATATGAGATGGAATAGTGGATGGGTTGAAAACCCATTGAAATTAAAGCATCTTCTCTGACAGTAATAAACAGTGACGGACATGGAGCATATGACCAACTGTCACTAATTTTGTATCACTTGCTTATACGCTGATTAATTTACTTTCAGTTCTTAGCCCTCTCTCACAGAAATATCTTAGATTATTTATTTATTTACTGTCCCTCTCTTGTTCTGGGCCCTGAACAAGCTTTCGCCCAATTACAGAGTGACCCGCATAATACTTTTTAGAGGTGTCCCTGCAGAAAGTCTTAAAGTTGTGAATTAGGAAAACTGCAGGAAAACCTAATTCGTAGTATAGAATGCTGGAAACTACTCTAAGGAAATTCCCATCTCTGCCACAGATGAAAAATTCACCTCAACCCAGGTTCAAACACCCGACCTCCCGGCTGTGTACCCCAACGCTCTACCACTAAACCACACATTCGGGTTATTATCTTCTAATAATAACGTCTGTTGACAAAGCGTGACGTACCTGCGATTTTGTGTATGATACGACCGCTGATTGCATTGCATATTACCTACCATTGAATTGTGAAATACAAAACTTTCGCTTCTAAACGGCGCGGCTCCAACGTTAATAAGAAGATATTGGAAAATTTACACCCGGAATACAGCCCTATGACGAAGTGGTGAGGATTTGAATAGCTGTTTGAGATATGTATGTGACTTTACCTGCGATGTACTTATTTCTTTTTTTACTCTATTTTACTTGGGGAAAAGCTTTGGGACACAATTCCCCCTCCCTGGTAATACTCAAATTTAATGTAGATAATAACTAACTCAACTAACTGTTACTAATTG